ACATGGTGGGCTTCAGAATCAGACCAGCTCCGGCCACCAGGGCGTTGTCGATCTTTCCCTGGCGCATGTCAGAGAAGGCCTGTTCCAGGGCGTACAGAGAACTGGAGCAGGCGGTGTCAATGCTGTAACTGGGTCCCTTGAAATCAAAAGTGAACGAGATGCGGTTGGCAAACATGGCACGAGCACATCCCGTCAAGCCGTATCCATTGACACGGTCTGGATCGCTGCACCAATGCTGCTCCGTCTCCGAAGTGGAGACGCCGATGTAGACACCAGTACGGGATCCACGCAGGTCGCTGGGGTTCAAACCGGCATCAATGATAGCCTCGTGAGTCAACTCCAAAAGCATACGCAGCAAGGGATCCATGCATTCGGCCTGCTTCTGGTGGACACCGAAGAACTGCTGGTCAAAGTTTTCTAGATCCTCCTCCTTGATCTTGCCAATCCTGTCGGGGAGACCGTAGAGTCCTGCAAAGAGGAATTATTAGTTTGATCGAGAGTATGAGTAATTTTAAGGGGAATTACCGCGCTCCCAGCGACGGGGATCATCGTTGACCATGTCGACTCCTTCGAAGAGATTCTTCTTGAACTCCTCAATGGTGGAGCTCTCCGGCAGACGACCAGAGAATCCGGTGATGGCGATCTCATCGTTTAGCTGCTGTTGTTGACGGGGCGCATAGTGGCCGCCACCCAGGTCCAATTGGGGGGCAGACCGCTGTGCGGGCTCCGCGGTGATAACTTCCTCGGCGAAACGGGCGGGCATCTTGACGTGGTTTTGGTTTAGGGAGTTGGAATGGGAATTCGAATTGGAATTGGAATTGGAGTAGGCGTTGAGGTCCTGGCTATCGTTGGGTGCCGAGTGCGGGGTGGAGGAGGAGGTGCTCGGTGTTAGCTGCGCGTCTCGATCCTGGAAGGCGTCAGGTTGCTGCGAATTTTGTTGCTGCTTGTTGCGACGGCGGCGACGACGACGATTGGCGCGTGCACTTTTACTGTTATTCTGGGTGCCGGGTGAATGATGATTCTGGGTGCTGCAATGGTTGGACTTGAATGCAACAGGTTGCTGGTGGTCCACGGCTTGCAACAGGTTTAGTTGTAGGGACTGAAAGTGAAACAGTAAAAGGTAAATTAAAAACTATTTTGAATATTTTATTGTAAACTCCAAATTTGGATACAAAATGAGGCAATCTTGAAAAATTCTCGTGTGATGCTAACCAAGTAATTATAACTGCGATGTAATTTTTCAAAAAATAATATTTTCCCGCGCACGACTGTTAACTTAACATAAAAGCTCAGTTATCTGTTAACCGCTAAAAACTGCGCTGCTCTGTAAATTTTACTGTCACATGTAGACTGTCACTGGGAAGCTGCGTGGAAAGTTTGGTGTAGAAATTGCAAATCAGGTGATATGCCGGTGTTTTGCGGCATTTGTTGTGGCGTGATGACAACTTTACAGTTAATCGGTCCAACTTTGGGGGGGGGTGGTACGGGTCGAGCTAACAGTGCAACACCATTTATGTTAACATAGGTTGCCACAAACCCATACATACACACAAATACCACTTGCTGCTTGCTGGCTTCTTATTCGCCGAGAAACTCGTACGATTTTGCAGAATGATTCAACAAAAGCAGGGAAAGAAAAAAGAAATCTAGGGAAGCCGAAAGCGTCATTAGAAGAAGAAGAACAAGAGCGGCCGGCAACATGCTAACACAATACAACAACAAAAAAAGAACGCGAAAGATACACAGAAAATAAAACTAGAAAGCTTTGTTTTTATTATTAGAGATTATTAATAACATTTTAGGAAGAGGTCTTATCAAAACCAAGAGGAAACACAGCATGTTTTTCCACAAAAAAAAAACAGATGATAAAACTTAAATCTGTTTCTGTTTCTAAACAAATATAAATATTTTAAAATTTTTTAATGAATTAGTTTAGTATTATTTTTTTCAGTTCATCAGCTGCTACCTGCCAAAATCGGTCGAAACACCGGTAAACTTATCTAGGCGTATAATCAAAAGGCCGTTGCTCGACAAGACAGTCGCGTCTGGATTCTATGTTTATGTTTTGCTATTCTAATCGGATGGGGGTGTGGGGAGCGGAGTGAAAAGTGAGAGGCGGCAAGACTTGCACGCCACCGGCACACCAAAACACACACACCGACACCCACAAAACAGTCACCGCCACACACACACACACGAGCTCGACGCGTGTACCATTTGTTTAGTGAGATAAGGTGGCGTGATTTCTCAAGTTCATTGAAGTATTATTTTCATAGTTTGGGTTGCCTGATTTCCTCTATTTACCCCTTAGCCGCAGTACATCGGAGGATTTGATTAACCTGTAATCGGACAATGCGACATATCCTTTTACCGTAATTACCCAACAAGCTATATTGATTTATCGGGCTATATGTCAATCGAGCCATCATCATCAGGCCATATTGCGAAAATTGCGTCATTGGATAAGCAAACACATAACAAAACGCTCCCCCGCCCTATTCTAGATGGCACTTTACAATGTTTATTTATGCACGAGGTTCTATTTTCGCAGCTATCGATTGTGGACACCTCTTAAGTACACGTGGACGCGTCACCGCAGGCTCTCGCCATCGGCTGCGATCCTCCAATCCGCGTTTGGTGACGATTCAAGTTCATGAGCAAGCTGATAAGAGAGACTGGGACTGGGCCATGGGGTGATTCCAAGACCCAGTGATAAGCTGATAAGGCGCAGTGCCTACTCATACGAGCGTGCACCTGGATCGGAAATGTTTGATCGCCGGTGGACGCGTGTACATCAGGAAGCACCATTATTTGGCGATAAAGATTAGTCCAGACACTCGAAATTTTCCAATCAGACGATCGGGGTTTGTTTTTGTTGGGTGTGTTGTTGGCTTTTATGGGTTTTGGGTTGGCTGCTTTATATGCAAAGTGTTTGCTTGGAGATAGGAATATTTTTAAAGATTTCGTTTCAAGATTAAGCATACATATTAGAATGTTTTAAAACACTTTTGCCCGCTACTTAATATTTTCCAACATTTTAGTTAACTTTAATTTATGCTTTTCTTACGTGTTTATTTTTGTTTACAATTTGTTAGAGTTTAAATACTTTAGCTATTATTTAACGTAATTTGACAATTTCTATTAAAATTGATTTATTAGGTTTTTAAGGGCTATTTACTTAGTATAGTTGTAAAAATTTAAACGGTCCTAACTCACGCAAACAGGAAGTGCATTAAATGATTTGCCACAATTTGTTAGGTCTTTAATATAACATCAGAAACAAGGTTTAAATTCTTATTAACTAAAGTATTTCTTTAGATTAATAGGGTTTTTTTCTACAATTATTTTGGTAATTTTCTATCGACTCGCCCCAAAGAAATCATAGAAATCAAACTTTTGCTGCTTCTGGGCGGCAATTAAAGGGCGAAACCCTATCGAGAAGCCTTTTAGGTGGGGAATGTGTCTTGGAAGACAGATTTTGACCCTCCCCACCAGCCCAATCTCAGTATTTAGCAAATAGCGATTGTAATTTGTTGTCTCAGTATAGAGGGTAGGGTAGGGTAGGTTGGCTAGGAAATAACACTTTTGGGTTTGCTCGGCCCAAAGGTCCTAAAGGTCACAACCGATTCAAGCCAAGTGCGAACCGAGCAAAGGCGAAATTCTCCAATTAAGTAATTTGTATTTTTAGCTGGCTTAGCTAGCACTTGCAATTTTTAAACCAACCATTTTATTATATTTTTTTTCTATTATTTCATAAACACTTTTTTTCACAGAATTTTTCACGATTATACTCGTTGTATGGCGGCCCAGCAACTAAAGTTCGTATTTCCTCCGCACAGTTCCTGCGGCTGTCTGCTGCCTGGTGCCTGGTGGCGTATTATTTGTACATACCTAGAAATCAGGCGATTCCTCCTCGACAGCTGTTTCTCGATTTGAAGGGCACGGTCACTGGGGTTGTAGCGGAAAGGCGGCTCCTTCGGCAGTTGGTCCTTACTGACTTCCGAAACCGTGAGCTTTTTTGCTACGTCGACGCGAACGACTCCGAATTCTACACTCGGCTTTTGAAACAAGCAAGTGTTCTGGGTTATACCGTTAGCGGATTTTTGACTTTTTTTGCAAATTTCCTAGCCACACGCAAGCACTGCTCTTTGAAAGCTTAGCGGTTCGACAACGGCGATTCCCGAGCGGAATATTGAAACAATAATTTCCAGGCATCAGGTGAGCACCGCCTTTTATACGACGCCCGCAGACGCCGGCAGAGCTCTGAGCTTGACGCCGCTGCGCTGCTCTCCAGAGCAGAGCACACTGCTCAACATCATGTACTTCAAAGATTGCGCGTCAGCTAGTAGACGGATGGCACGTTTTATTGGGCTCTAAACTAATTATAACTCTTAAATCTTAAATTAATAATTTTAACTAAAAAAGTCTTCAAATTTCAGATATAATTTCAGTTTTAAAACAAAATTTGGTTCCAGACAGCAGTAGAAAAGGAAGAATTTTGACCACTGTGCGTGACTGCGAAGAGAGATAGGGGGCGGTTTTGAAAGTTCTCGCTCTTTGGCTCTCTGTTAACCTTTCGCAGGGCCGCTGTTATTGTTGTTGCTGTAAACAGCGTCGCGGGTGCTGTAAGTTCAATTTTCTGTTATTTTTTCTGTTAGTTTTGTTGTTGCGGCTGCACTTAATTTCACATTAACAGCGATAAGTGTGTCAGCTGTTGTGTGCGTGACAGAGATGTTCAAATTTTTATTTTGCCGCCAAAGTCGGACCACTTTTTCTTGGCAGTATTAATCGTCTGGCAGATCACAGGAGCGATTGCGTGGGAATCATTATCAATTATGGAAAGGTACACAGGCTATCCGCCTGTTTTAGCGGGTCAATAAAGTCAGAAGTGGATCGTAGCGAAGTGTTTGTGAATCATCGGCGGAATCATGCGAGTGCCACGCGACTTTCAATTGCCAATAAAATCACCAACTTGAAAATATGAGAGATTAGAGGGTCTCTTTCTTAAACAATCCCAACGAGATTGCTACGTATATTTTTATGAATAGGGGATACATTAATATCTATAGCATAAATCATGAAAATTATCGTACTAATAGAGCTAATCAAAACTATATCTAGTCCACTAGGGTTGCTTCCTTAAAACCTGTTCGATGATCTGTAGGGTGTGCGGTTCCTTGAGGAAGGTGCGATGGGTGCCCTCCACCACGTGCATGTCGATCTGGGCGCTGCAAATCTAAAAGGGATTTAAAAAATATTAAAGCTTGAACTAAATAACAGTTACCGAAACAAGATATTACCTCTTTGAGGCCATAATCCTGGGCCATAATGGCATTGTGCTCAGCCGACTTGATCAGTACCACATCGCTGTGGAGTTGCTTGGCTCCCTTGTAGCTCTCCGAAAGCAAAAGCTTTTGTTTAAACATGCAGGCAGCTTTCTTGATCTACGGATTATAGAAATAAGTATATATTTAATATATATTTGTATATATTAAAGTAAAGTATCATAAAATCTAAAGTATTTCGCATTTTTTCTGGTGATAAAATCCTACAACAAAGCCTTCGCGTGACTTGACTTTACGTGTAATCTTTTGAACTTTAAAGGTTATTATTTTTATTAACAAATGCCCAATTGTTTACCGGTTAATTATTGTCTAAAATTTAGACTTTAAATGGACAATTAGAGTATTTCTACTAAGGGTTTTTATTTGTATGTAATATACATTTAAACATATATAAACATATATATTTAAACAAAACCTAGAAATATTTAAAATTTGCTTGATAAGTTCAACTGACGGAACATATTTTTTACAAACTTAAATAAACGATTGAAAAGTGTCTAGACTTTTTATAGATTATGATTTAAATTGGTGCATTAAATTAGCTCTAAAAACGTTTATATAATTATTTAATATAGTCTATAAACTCACAACTTCTTTGGTCTGTTGCGTGTGCACGGCCAGAGTGTCGGCGAGTTTGTCCAGTTTAGATGGCCAAGTCTTCACTCCATCCAAGAGTTGCAACAGCTATGTCATGAAATAATACATTTTATAAAAGATCTTTCATAAAATAATTCAGAAAACCCACCTGGTTGTAGTCCACGTCGGCAAGCAGGGCTCCGAAGTAGGCAAGAGTCATGGATTGCTGGCGATTTAGGTCGTCCGTCTGCTTTTTAGCCTCCTGGACGTAGCCACTGGCTATGGTGGGAGCTCCGTCCAGCATAATGACCTTCACCCCGAATCGGCGCTGCTCCAGTGCCACCCCAATGGCGTGGGCCAGCAGGCAGCCGTAGGAGTAGCCGACAATGTTGTAGGGACCTCGGGGCTGGAGCATCTGAATTTGGCGCAGGTAGTAGGCGGCGCAGGCTTCGATGGAGTCCAGAGGCACCTGCTCAGTGCACTGGAGTCCATAGGCGGGGCAGGTGAGTGATGAGGCCAAAGCCTCCACGGCTATTGTGAAGCCCTCGATCGGAGCCAGGAAGAACACCGCCGGATCCTCGCTGGCCACAGGAGCTTTCGATCGGAGGCGCACCAGCACCTCCTGGGGTAATACTTCCTTGGCGAATACCTTGCGCGTTTCGTCGCTCTGCTGCTGCCTATTGGCCACCTTCTCCTGCTCCTTGGCTTCCGGCGAGGCTGCCGATGTGGAAGAGGAGGCAGGAGATGGCTGCGTCACTGGCTCCTGGGCATCGATTTGCCGGAGGGCGCTGAAGGTGAGCTGGCGGATCTCCTGGGCACTCAGAACCAAATCAAAGTGCCTCTCCAGAGTCTGCTTGATCTCCGTGCTCATCAGCGAGTCCATGCCTAGATCAAACAGGGTGGTCTTATCGGAGACGCTCTTCACATCCCGGAGGCCCATGATATTGGCTATGGTGGCGATCAGACTCAATCTGTTGGCCTGCTCGGTTTTGCGTTTCTCTGCGAGCACCATGGAGGCCATAACGGCATGAGGCTGCTGCAGGAACAGGTCTAGGGTCTCCAGGCAGCTGTTCATTCGCTGGGGCAGGGTGCCACCCACCACAGTGTCGTTGTTTCCCATATGCTCGATGATGAGACCAGTATCTCCGATGGCACCCCACTGGATGGCAGTTCCCGGATATCCATCCGCTTGCCGCTGCTCGCAGATCCGTTCCATCGCTGAGTTGGCCAACCCGTAGTTGGTCTGCCCCAGGTTTCCTCTGCCGCAAGCCAAGCTCGAGAAGCAAACAAAGTACTCTAGGGCAAGGCACAAGCTTCGGGATATCCTGTCCAGGTGCTGTGTGGCCAGCAGCTTGGGCGCAGTCACCAGCTCAAAGTTCTTAGTGGTCTGATCTTCGATTAGTCCGTCTCTTAGCACCGCCGCTAGGTTAAAGATGCCTCCCACCAAAGCCAGCTTGTTGCTCACCTCAAGAAGCTTTTGGCATCCGGCGGCAGTGGTCGCATCATTGGTATCAATGAGCACTTGGACACCTCGCTCGTGCCAACGACGGATCATCAGGGCTTGGTAGCCGCTCTTCACTCCGGATCGGGAGCTTAGGACCAGGAAGCGAGCACCGCGGGATACAAGCCAGTTGGCCAGCTCCAGACCGAATCCGCCCAGACCTCCAACCAAAATGTAACTCTTCTCCGGATGCATATAGGAACGGGGAATGGCCTGGATCTGGCGGAGACGCGGAAGGGCAGACTGCTGCTCCTCCTCTAGGCGTACCTTGATCACCACCTTGCCAATGTGCTTGCCAGAGGCCATGAACCGGAAGGCCTTCTCGATTTCCTGATCTGCGAAAACAGTGGTGGGCAAGGGGCGCACGGCTCCCTTTTTGATGCCCTCCGCCACTAGCTTGGCCACCATCAGCTGCATCTCCTCCTCGCCTTCCATTATGCTGTCGAGCAGGATGCCGTGGAAGGAGGTGTTCTTCAAGAACACGGACATTCCCAGGGGCGTGTTGTTGCTCAAGTCGAACTTGCCGATCTCCAGGAATCGTCCATTGAGTGCCAGGCACCGGATGGAAGCCTGCAGCTTCTCCTCCGACAAGGAGTTCAGTACGAGTTCTACTCCTTCTCCGTGGGTTTCACTCATGATGAGTTGCTCGAAGGATGTGTCGCGGGAGTTGCCAATATTGCGAGCCTGCAGTTTGGGGAAGCGTCTTTGGAGGAATTCGCGCTTCTCCTTGCTACCCACGGTGGTGAACACTGTGAGTCCATGAGCCAGGGCTACGGAGATGGCAGCCTGACCCACACCCCCAGAACCGGCGTGGATGAGGATCCGTTCGCCCTTCTTCATTTGGCCTCTCACAACCAATGCGTAGTAGACTGTGGCATAAACACAAGGCACTGTCGAAGCCTCCTCCATTGTCCAGTCCTTGGGAATTTCCCACATCAGATTTTTGTTGGCTAGGCAATTGGTGGCCAGAGATTTTGCAGTGACCATGGCCATGACACGGCGACCGCGGGAGTCCCGCCCAGAAAACTCCAGTCCCAGGACACAATCCTGATAGGCCAAGTCTCCCGGCAGGGCATCTACGCCCAGCTTGCCCGAGGCCAGCATCACGTCCCTGAAGTTCAAAGGAGCATAGTAGACGGTACACGGCTCCAAGTGGGACTGATTGGGATTGGTGCGAGGACTCTCGATCCAGCGCAGCGATGAGAGATCTCCCTTAACCAGGGTATTCACATAGGCATGCTCCACGGGCAGAAGAGGAGATTGAGATTCCATTTTGAGATGACGGAAGCTGCCCCAGCTGCCATTCCTGTACACATTGATGGACAGATCCTTGGCCAGTTGATCGGCAAAGAAGGGTTCCTCTAAGGAGAAGGCAGGTAAGCCCTCGTCCAGTATGAGGTAGAGACGGACGCAGTTACCACCTGGCTCCCTCTTCAAGCAGTTTATCAAGCCCAAAGCCCCGGAATTGGGTTCGCCTTGGGCCACCAAATATAGGTTTCTCTTTTCGGCTTGGGATCTTAGCATAGCACTCTTGAGGTCACTCACCCATTTAAAATGCTCGTTGGTCAAGTGAAGGGTTGAGGATGGAATGGTCTTAATATGTACTGCCTTTCTGGCCAACACCAGCACTCGATCCACTCCGTAGAACTGCTCCAATAGCGGCACCAGTTGTAGTTTGCTTAGAATTTCCTTTCCAATGTGGGTGTAATTGGTAGCTATTTCCTCCAGTAGCAGGAAGCCCCCATCGGACTTAAGGCTGTCGACGCAGTTTTGAATATCATTTGGAGTATTTTTCGACAGCAAATCGAGACTGTATACAAAGTGACACTGCTGCTCCACTGGTCCGGCTGAGAGATCCTTTGCGATTACACGAATTCCATGCTCCTTCAATTGCTCACCCAACTCTGACTCGTTGGTGGAGCTTGTGACCACTGCCAAGTCTCCTACCAAAATGGGCTCGCTCTCAATTAGTTCTAGAAGCTGCACAGCACTCAGAGTATCCAAACTGGAGCGGGTGCCGGCGAGCTCCACGCCCTTGAGTTTCACAGCTCCGCCGCTGTTTTCGATAATGGTTTGTAGAGCCACAGCCAGAGCTGTGCTCCTGGACTTTTGCTGATCCTCGCGCTGCCCCAAGTGTTGAACGTAGGGAACGTACCTATAACGTTCCAGACTGGGAGCAGCTTGGCCCCCAGATCGCCTCTGCGTCTGGGCCGTTTTCATCTTGTGTATTTCCACGCCACCGCACTTGACCACCGAAATGTTGCTGTGCCAGCTGACGGGCAGTTTCTGTTGGTGCTTCTTGGCCAGCTCCAGATGTTTCAAGGGATCGATCAGGGCTCGTTCGATGCCAGTTGGCACATACAATTCCCGGATATCGTTACTCAAGATGCGGAACTGCAGCATGGTGTCCATGAAGCTGATCCAGTTGTCCATCCACTGGAGTTTGCCAGTCACGGCTGCGATGTCTGCTTCCAAGATTCCCTGAAAGGACAATAAAGGATAGCGACAGAGGCGATAAGAATGATTTCAGTGGAAAGAGGTTCTGTTTAAGTCTCACCTGAAAAGCACCACTGTAGTCGTATCCTCTTAGCCTCAACTCCTTGTAGATGTCCTTGGTGCCAAGTTTGCTTGAACCCGCAATCCCCGGAAGAGACGGCAGCTGCAGTCGCTCCTGGTGGACGTTAGTAACTAGCCGAATTTTTCCGGAGGCTACCAAGCTGCTGCCCTCGCAGATTTCAAAGCTGCTACTTCCTGGGAAGAAGTTGAGAGTCAGTTTGACGACTGTACCCACTCCTAGGATAGTGGCGCGATGGAAGACCACATCCTCGAACAGAACAGGAGTGCGCAGATAGTCCAATCCCTGCTGCTGGGCGAGACTCATCCAGGCCAGAGTCATATAGCCCGTGGCCGGGAACAGAATCCTTCCATCAATTGTGTGCCCCGCCAAGAAGGTGTTCTCCTCCTTGGCCAGGTCCAGCTCCACGCTTAGTTGTCCAGCCTGGCGACCGCCCTTGAACTTGGGGTAGTTCCACTTCTGGGAGTGGTCCCACCCAATCTGGGAGCCCAGCATGGGCGTACCTCGCGACACCGGGTAAGTAACGGAAGGAGAGATCTTTAGGATTTGCGGTTGTCCCCCGGCAGCGTACAACCTGCCAAGCTGGCTCAGGAGGAACTCGAAGTTGTTGGCATGGCCACGTTGCATGAGACTCACGTAGCTGATTTGCGGACTCAGAGATCGGAGGATAGCCCGGAAGAGACCATGTGGTGCTATTTCCACGATGACAGCGTTACTGGGAATCTTCTTCACAGCCTGATGGAAGAGTACCGGCGAGATCAAATTGTTGATGAAGTATCCGGCGGATGCCAGGTTATTCTTCTCCGAGCCCCACTCCGCTTCGTGGACGCTGGTGCTCAGCCACTTAGGACTCTTCTGCTTTGGGTCCCTAATCAGCTTCTCCAGATTACGGCGCAGCATGGGAGCTGCTCCCTCGATGTACGGACTGTGGAAAGCATAGCCTCCTGATCCCACTTCCCTCACAAAAATACCCTCCGCGGCCAGACTCTTGATGGCAGCATCCATGGAGGCCGTTGGACCAGATACCGTGCAGTTATCGTCGCTATTATGGCACACTGGATAGCAATCCTTTGGAAGGTGGGCCGCAATTTCGTCCCAGCTTAGCCCCACGGCTGCCATCTTGCCGCGAGGCAAGTCCGGCGTGTCCAGGACGCTTCTGCCACGCCAATAGGCAGCCAACACAGTCTGTTCTGCCGTCAGGCAACCATCCATGTAAGCAGCTCCCAGTTCCCCGGCAGAGTGGCCAATGATTCCATCTGGACGAATGTCCAAGGTCTTTAGTAAATCCGTAAGAGCCACCTGGACGGCGGAAACGGACACGAAGGAATACAGCATGTTGTCGAAAGTCCGCTCCGTGGACCGAGTTAGAACGTCTATAAGATCAAAGTCCACTTTGGCAAGTACCTGCGGAAACCCAAAGAATATTTTCCATAATTCTTAGATTTTATAGTTCTTAAAGGTTCTAGTTTTCAAATTTATTTATAATGGCCCCCAGGAATACTCCTTAGGGCTCTACGAAAAATTAATTTAGACTCATTAGAGTGCTCCTCTCCACGGAAATCTTTAGTAAAAGGCGAAAGATTTATTCGACAACTGAAGAGAAACCAGAGTACCTTTCTCAGCTCAGACCAGAAGCTCTACCTTATGAGTCTGCTAAAACCAATTGAGAATCATAGTTTGGAAAAAACAAGGATAGGAGGCACCCTAAATTAGGCTACAGGGACGGCAAACCCACTCAGGTAAAATATGTTAAATCTTAAGGGCTTATATGCAAGTTATGTACTGTTAGGGGTGGAACTCTTAGGGATTCTTACCTCTGCACAAGATTCTATAGACTTGCGGAACACATCCAGCTGCATGAGGTCCTTGGCCATGCTGGCCCATTGACTGCCCATGCCAGCGTACACGAACCAGATGGGTCTTGGCTCCTCCTCGAAGGGCAGCACCTCCACTTTGACGGCGCCACTGGAGTCCAGGACAGCATAGCCTCTGAAAGGATGCAGGGGAATCGTCTGCGAGTGAATATCATTAATGAGGGTAAGCAGCTCCCGATCATTCGACTGATCAGTGGCCACTTTTAGGAGTTGCTGCACTGCCTCCTCCGTGCGACCGGAGCAGACCACCAGTCGCAAGGATTGCTTCTCCTCTAACCCGTTGCTCGATGATTTGGGAGCTTTGGATTTGGTATGGGACTTTAGTACCACATGGGCATTGGCTCCTCCAAAGCCAAACGAGTTCAGGCCCACAATTCCTCCCTGCCATGGAAGGTTTTTATCCACCACCTTGAGTCGGCCTTCAACTAAAGCGGGCACCGCTGGATTGGGAGTGCGGTAGTGCAGGTTCCGGGGGATGACGCCCTCTTCCATGGCAATGATCATCTTGGCAAGAGCACTGACCCCAGATGCCGGTTCAGCGTGCCCCATGTTGGACTTGACGGATCCAATAAGCAGAGGACTCGATCGCGAGGGACGGCAGAAGAAGTTGCTCAGCATGTTGGCCTCCTGATCATCGCCGACGGGCGTACCACTCCCATGGGCTTCCACGTACACCACCTCATCCGGATTCAGACCGATCTCACTGTACGTTTCCTCCAGCAGGGCCTGCTGCATCCGGCCGTCGGGGAAGGTGACCCCCTGTTCCTTGAACCCGTCTGTATTTGTGCGCACATTAAGGATGCTGGCGTACACCCTTTTGGCTTCCTTCCGGCGCTGGAGGAGGACCACGGCACAGGTGTCTGCCCGGGCGTAGCCGTTGGCCGCTGCATCGAAGGTCTTGCACGAGCCGTCGTGGCTTACAATTCCCAGTCTGAGAAACTGCAGGGCAAAGATTGGTTTCAGTATGAGATTCACGCCCGCCACAACGGCGTAGTCGCAGCGACCCGCCCGCATATCCGCGAAGGCGTGGTTCAGTGCCACCAGCGAGCTGGAGCACGCGGTGTCCACTATGAAGCTGGGACCCTTGAAGTCAAAGGTGTAGGAGATCCGGTTAGCAAACATGGCCCTCGCACATCCCGTCAGGCAATACCCATTTATGCTGCTGGGCTCCATGTTGGGGATCTCGTGCTCTGTCTCCACGAAGGACAGGCCTATGTAGACGCCGGTTCGACTGCCTCGGAGCTGAGCGGGATTAATGCCCGCATCGATGATCGCCTCGTGGGTCAGCTCGAGGAGCATTCGCATACAGGGATCCATGAGCTCCGCCTGCTTCTGGTGAACGCTGAAGAATTTGTCGTCGAACTTCTCCAGGTCCGTGTCCTTCATTTTGGCCATGCGCTCCGGAAGACCATAAATCCCTAATCAAAGTAAGCAGACATTCATAGGAGGGTTTTCTGTTACTTATTATTCTCGTGGATTCAGGTACGTAATAGATAATGAAAAAATAGCATCCCCAAATAAGGTACGCGACGCACCCTATTTCAATTTTGAAAATGGGATTCTCCCAAAGCTTAGGAATTTGAAACCCAAAAGCTTAAAACCAGTTTAAAATTTATTCGATACGACCCAGCGGCTGCCGGGTACTAAAAAAATTGCCTCGGATATTCTCATTCCCCTACATCAATGCGGAATGGGTGTTCCACAAACTGACGAGGGGAGTTTCGAGTTGGCTTGACTTTGAACCGAGGGGCCAGGCTATATGAGTTTGACGAGAACCGATTGGGAATTATGACGAAGCTTAGGGGAGACCGGATAAGACTGCGACAGTGATATTGAAAAGCTTTGTACGATCTGAAGGGGATGATACTTGGTGGGTTTATTAAACACTAACCTGCTTCCCAGCGACGGGGATCATCTGTGACCATATCAATTCCATTGAGCAAGTTATACTTGAACTCCTCTATGTTACTGCTCTCAGGCAGTTTTCCAGATAGTCCCGAGATCACAATATCTCCGTCTTTGCCTGCCGCGCTCTCCGCCTGTGCTTTCTTTTTATTAGGCATCCTGGGGGCTATGTTCAGATCAGGATTGGAGGCAGGTCAGTCTGTAAAAGGGCCCAACTGAACGGAAAACTGTTCAAAACAAAGTCATAGTGGATAATAATAGATTAGTATTTATTTAAAATTATAATACGATTTGAATTATAATTATATCATTAGTAGATAAATAATAAAGTTCAATATAAATAAAATACAATAAAGTCCATCATACATTTAAAATTTGAATTCATTTTCTATAAAATGTATAGCTTGGGGAGACTATTCGTTTCCAGAACCTTGATTATATTTGAACCTAAAATTTAGATTGCGGAAAGGCTTGATAACGATTACAAATTGTAAAGAGTAATAAGTATAATCTCATTAATTAAAATAAAATCAAACTAATTGAGAAAAAATAGAGAACTTTTATTAAAAAAAATAATAGTACACAAATATTCTGAATAATTTAACCTTCACTTTTCTTTAGAGGATTTGAAAGGAATTTTAGCTGATTCGGCATTGATATACATTTCAATCTTATATTAAAAAATATTAATTTTAATATTTGCTCCTTGTTATTCGTTGAATAAATAAGTATCATGGCTTTTACCTTTACATTGTTTTTCGCTACCTATGGTTTTTTCCTACCCCCTTCTTCTAGTTCCAACTTCTTTGGAACTAAATAAAATCTTATCTTAATCTTAAGACCTTATATTTTGACTGTTTGTCAAAATTAAAGTGTAATTCTAGTAATTTATCAATTTTCAGCTAAAATAAATAAGGTGTTAAAGTTTTTTGAAAATCGGCTTAATCTTAGATGCCCAGATAGACTTAGCAGGTATTCAAAATGCCAAATCATGAGTAATAGTAATCACTAGAGCAGTAATCACTCCAGAAATGACCCAAGCATGCGTCAAGATTTGATCAATATTGTCGCCCTGGAAAGCTGATAAGATTTCTGCTGCAGCAGCAGTCACCTTGTCTCCTCCCCTAGTCCTCGATCAGACCTATATGCAATCATACGATTCGCCAATTCAAAATATTTCGAATTATAGGAGGGAGACCCGATACGGATCATTTGATTTCTTGTTGCCAGGTTATGGGAGAAGGCTTTCGAGATAGCCCAGCCACCTCGCCACGGCGTGGACTGCACCTGGAGCGGATGGCGGGGCTAAGGCGGGGCAATAGTCCCGATAAGCTCCGATAGAATATTTCCTAAACACTCGAACAAGCAAATGGGACGCGTGCCAGAACACAAACATAGAGCATAATAAGTCTCGCTCATTGAATTGTCTGATGGGTTCAAAGATCCCAAAGAACAATGAAAAAACAAAACAATAAAGAAGTGTCTGAAGAATTAATTTGATTGGAAAAATAATCTTTTTATACAAAAAACACGTTTTTATTTATTTTAACACCAAATATAAGGTCCTTGGAAATTTAAAAAAATGGAATATTGATTCGAGGCTTTTCCAAAATTTAAAATTTTAAGGCAACTTTAAATTCATTCGCTTCACAACATATTCTTCAGGAAAGCTAAGTAAAGCTAAGTCGAGCCTGTATAATATTTGACAGCTCCACTAATATAAAAATAAAAAATCCATTCATAGCTTATAGCACCGCTTTTTTTTTTTAACAATTTTCACTGGTCTTTTTAATATATTTTTGTAAAAGATTTAGAACTTCTCCTCACTGGACTCACATTATTTATATTTTTTCAAGTCACTAACTTATCACCAACCGCGTATCCTTTTTAAACTTAGTTCGGAATCCAAAGGATATAGGCAAAGGATAAAGATCTCCTTTTTCTTTTGTTAACTACGATATATCCTTATTTTGGGCGCGTATAGATCCGACTTATTCCGCTGACAGACTGAACAAGGGCTGCACCCGTCGAATTCTTTATATGCATTCGGTCCGCGGGGCCACGGGGGATCGATGGCCACCGAATGCCGCATTTCTAATTATCCCCGTAACCACGGATTATACCGAAACCCAGCCGATCCTATTATGCCAACCGCTGAATAATTCATTTTCATGCAAAACTCGCCTCTAACATCGACCAAACCAAACAGAAATTGCGACTCCGAGCAGGACAGGCCTGCTCGTGGGGTTTATTTTTTTAATTTAGGTGCCCATGCCCCGGTAACGGCTAAGTAGTCCAATAACATTATTTCAATAACGAGCTCCAGATTTGGATGTGAATTGGGAGCGCTTGGCTCTAGCGGCGCTTGGGAGCCTTCGCTACCCGTCCACCCTTGTTCTTGCCGAGGTGCCGGCATGTAGTGGCTTTTCGGGTACGAGCACTTCTTGACCGAGTTTTTGGAGTTCGCTTCTTGGTCAATTTTCGGGCCTTAGGAGTTACTTCTTCATCGATAAGGGTAAGTACTCCAGTCGTCTCCCCCACTCCGATAGCCACGTCTACGGCGTTCCTAAGGGAACCAAAGGGACGCACATGCTCGAACATCACGGCATCTTGGATATGCTTAATGATGTCATCCATGGGTATACCTTTTAAAGAAAAAAAATATTTTGGATACTATTTTGGATAATATTTACATGGCGTCTACTTACGTAGCTCAGGTTGGCGACTTAGCAAATCCAATATATATGGCAACAAGGTTGAGGTGTACTTATCCATAATAAATTTTGAAAATATGATTTAAACTATTTTTATTTTAAAATGAAAAAATATTAAATATATATCGCGTTTGATGTAGAGCTAGAAACTAAAATGTTGATGCGGTCGAATGGAGATGTGTCCTAAAGTAAAAAGTTACAAGAAGTTTATATTACGTCAAATATTCATTTCACAAACTACTTTGTTCAGTAATATTTCGAAACTCGACTACTTTGTTCTTTTCGCTCTCGAAAACCGCTGTTAAACAAGCTAATTAAATCAAATTAATTAAATTCGGGTCTTTAGATGCATATGTACGAGACCCATTTCCTCCTAATTAGATGCAAATTGTTTCCTAAAAAAAAAATGTCATTAAACTCTGAATGCCCCAGTTCGGCCGTGGATTAGTAGTATTACTTTTGTCCCTTATGTTGTGACCATTAAATCATTCTCTATTTGTTTATTTACTAAGAATTGAGCTGTATATGTATTAATCAAGTACATTTTAATAATTTACTTACATTACCCCAACATAATTCTTTCATACCATAGACCATTCAAACTGAAGTACTCAAGAGGTTCTTACCTCGTAATTTTTACCAATAACAGCGAATTTTATGCAGACACAGATACAGATAAGAATAAACCCCCCCGGATTCGACCAAATCAAATAGAAATTGCCACTCCAAGCAAGACAGGCATGCTCGTGTAAAATAAAATAAAATTATTTCAATAACGAGCTCCAGATTTGGATTGCCAGCGATTGGATCTAGCGTGGGCGCTTGGGAGCCTTCGCTACACATCCTCCCTTGTTCTTGTCGACGGCTAGGCGTGCATTGGCTTTTCGGGTTGGAGAACTCGTGGCCCGCGATCTTGGCATCCTCTTCTTGATGAATTTTCGGGCCTGAGAAGGAGTAACCATTGCTTCGGGAGGCAATTCATTGGAGACCGGTCGTCCAAATTGAATACGTCCTATAGAAGTCACTTCTTCATCGACAAGGGTAAGTACTTTAGTCGTCTGCCCCACTCCGATAGCGAAGTCTACAGCGTTTTTAAGAGACCCAAAGGGAGACACATGCTCGTGCATCACTGCATCTTGGATATGCTTAATGATGTAGTCCCTGGACACACCTTTTCAGAAAGAAAAATAAAAATATTTTGGAGTTGCTGGACCATGTTTTAATAGCCTTTACTTACGAAGTTCGGGTTGGCGACTTATCAAACCCACAATATATGGCAACAAGGTTGCGGTTCTCTTATCCATAACAAAATTTAGTAAATATTTATCTAGTAAATATGATTTAGACTAAATGGAAAAATATAAAATTCTAGAAGAATAGATGTTGATGCGGTCGAACGGAGATCTGAAGTGAAGCAAACTTCATTTTACAAACTATGTACTCTATTTTAAAACCTGACTACTTTGTTCATTTCACTCTCAAAATTCAGTGTTTAGCAAGCTAATTAAATAAAATTAATTACGTTCGGGACTGTAGAGAAACGATTGGATATGTCCTAGCCTAGATATGTCCTCCCTTTTCCCAAAAAATGTCTCAGTAGTATAAGTTTTGACCCTCATGCTATGACTATTAATTCATTACTTTCCTTTTTGTTTAATTTCCAATCATTTAATTGTATATTTAAGGAAAAATAAGTACATTTTATAAATTTATGTACATACTTCCTTAACTACCCCAACATACACCATGCATAAAAATCCCATTCAGAGTGAAGTACTCAAGAGGTTCTTGCCTTGACAATTTTTCCAATAAGAGCTGATTTTATTCAGACATAAGATAAGCACTGGGAATTCAAGGTCTTCCGCAAGCTCAGACAGAAATTTTTCCTTAGCTGATTACCCTACTCTATTTCTGGTTTATTGAATATTTGTTGACTTTAGTTATCGAACTATACTAAAAAAATGTTTGTCTTTATGGGTGACTTATGATTTTAAATAAAATGTGGACTCTACGAATCGGGATTTCGTTCCATTGAATACTTTCACGAAACTATTAAGAGTATTACCTTGTCGCCAAAGCCCTATCAGGGGCTATTCCGGGCATATCAAGAGCCACTAGCCCCGGTAACAAATTGAGAGCTATTAATAAAAACCAAAACAAAAACAGAGACGCGTGCAGTCTTCGCTTTCTTTGCCGGCTACGTCGCATGATAGCGATGATGGAAAGTATTTATTTTTTTGTGAGGTTTTTGAAAGCCTCGACCTGGGCGATAGGGACCCATACATATAGAATAACTTATGTTCCGATGCTCCGAAGCGTTGTGAACGCATGAGAACGATGTGATTAGTGTAGGCGCGCCGCGTGCTGCGGAATCGCCCGACTGGCCACTCAATGTCCGATAACGTTTTTGGGTATTCTACCCGGCTGACTAGTCAGGCTGGCTAGTCTCGATGGCATATAATTAGAGGCGCGGAAATTTACGCACCGCTGTGGAGTGTGTCGGTTGGGACGGCTGGCAGAATAGTTTTATAATGCTAGCCGTACTAGTCGTGGATGATTGTGCTTAAATGTGTGATCTAAAGGTTGAATCATTGATAGCGGGAGCTACCTGGATCGAGCCAAATGCCACTGATTGCCCTTCAGTCTGGACGCTGCTGCTCAGATCCACCGGTGATAGCAAGGCTTTTCACGGTGACTTAAAGGTGATCCTTGACGGACGCCGTTTCTGTGTTATCGCGCAGATCGGCATCTAGTTTATATAACAAATAATAATATGCGTCAGTGGCCGATCGTGGATTTACAGTCGTTGAACCGCGGGCAATCGGCTGTGATGCAATGGCACACGGTTGAATACCGCTGCAAACTGCGTCACTGCCTCGGCCAATGGTCAAAGTTTTGAGAATTCGCCTACTAGTTTGCAAAGTGCTTTAGGGGAAGCTCCACTGGAAAGTTTTTTTTAAAAATTTACTTAAAGAGTAAACAATACCTTGAAACAAAATATGCTACGCACAGCGCAACATTTATTTATTTACATTTTAATTAAAATGTGTAACAACCTCCCTGTCTAGTATTCTTCCATTATTTTTCGTTATTTAGGAGCCTAAAGTGTTTATACCCCTTTATTGACCACTATATACTCTGAAATAAATCGCGTATATACCCTTAAAGCTTCACCACCGTCTTGCCCTGCATGTGTCCGCTTTTTAGACGTTCAAAGGCCTTTGGCAGATCAGCGAAATCAAAACTGCAGTCGATTTGCGGAATCAGCTGAAACCACAAAGCGGGAGATTAGCAGATTATTTGACTATAATCTGAATTTATACATACCTTCCGCGATTCGACAAGCTTCTTTAGAAACTCAATGCCATGGGGCGCTGGGCTGAAGAAGCCCCACTTGACTAGGCCGCCTCTCTGGGAGAAGGACTTCAAATTGGTTTGGACCAGGTCGCCAAGGTTTTTGATGGCTCCAAAGACCAAGCCTTGCTGATCTATATTGGCCAGCATTGGCGATGAAAAGGTAATATATTGCCTATAATCGTACTTCAATTCCGATGCCTTTTGAGCTCCTTGGCCGGCACAGTCCAAAATGATGTCGTAGGGCGCGTATTTGCAAAGCTCTTCCATAGCCTCGCTGTCGTTATAGTCCACCACAAGGTCGGCTCCCAGATTGCGAACCATTTCCATATTTCTCACGCTGCACGTTGCCAAAACCTGCACCTTTTGTGACTTGAGTATCTGCACGGCTAGGGTCCCCACACCACCGGAACCGCCCAGGACCAAGACACGCTTGTGGGCTCCGCCGCCGGAGGATGTGGTAGCTCCACATGGTCCTCCAAGTCCGCCAGTAACGTAAAGACCAGACCAAGCCGTAAGTCCAGCGTATAGCACGCTTGCCGCCTCACAGTCATCCAATTGTTTCGGAGCTTTCGAGATCTGAATGGCTTTGTTAGAAATTATGGAGGACTTGAACAACATCAATTCCACTTACACAGTATGACGGTACGGTTACGTACTCTGCATGAGCTCCGGCACTGGACTGCAGTGGCACCACGCCCCAGACACGGGTTCCCAAAGGAAGAGACACCCCCATTCCTTTGTGCACGAGCTCTCCGCAGAACTCACGGCCAAGTACAAGCGGGAATTCAATACCATTGCTCGGAAGACAACGCATCTTGTTTAGGACTGTGGCGCCATATCCTCGGAGCATGGCCACATCGATGGGATTCACTGAAGTTGTCTTAATTCGTACGAGACACTCGTTAGAGCTACGAATCGAAGGTATCTTCAGTTTATCTGATAGCTGTAGCTCGTCGATGTCGCCATAGTTGTGCAACTGCCATCCTCGCATTTTTCCATCGCATTTTGCGGCAGGCGGAGGCTGTTGCTCCACATTTGTCTGAGCACCGGCAGACGTTGATTGAGTCGCAACGGGGTACTGGCGCCCGACACCCAAAATAGATTGCCTCAAAGGCAATAATATGTTTCTACCAGCTATCTGCATTTATCTTAAGATAATTCCCTTATGATATTTAATTTTCAATTAAAATTACTTAACTTTTGAAAGCCAAAATAAATAACTTGTTTGTTATTGTTTTGTCAGTGTGCCCATTCGATGGACAACAGCGGATCAGCTGATGCCGGGAATTATCGAATACTTTTGCACCGATTACTGATGACCAAAATAAAAGACAAAAAGAAAAAAATATTTTTGATAAGCAACATTAATAAAATACATTTTTGTTTTGGCGAGTGTTAAACACTTATAATTATTTTGCATAATTTATTTTGTATTTTTTTTGTAATTTTTCCGATTATCCTTTCGTATTTGGCCAATCTGGAAGCTTAGCTTGGGCCGGAGTTCCACTAACCAAAGGTTTGGCCAATGTCATTCCCCTTCGACTGAACTGCTCTCTCACAGAATCCGGAGTAACAGTTGAAGCCTGCTCCAGATACGGAACCGGTTGAATTTGGCCGTTGGTAAGCACGGGAATCTGTCGTACTCGGAGTCCAGGGATAAGGACTTGGCTTTTTACCAGGACACAGCTTAGGATTATGGAAATCAGGATTAAATGAAACTTCATTCTGGAATCGATGCTTTCGAGAACTGCTGCCACTGGAGAGCATCGTTTACGTTTTATATTTTGGCGGATGATCCAGGAAATATTTTATTCCGGGGTGAGTGCACCGATTGCGGGAAAACCAGTTAGGCAGTGATAAGCAACAAACAGGCTTTGATAATTTTTGGGACATTTCAATGGTTTTTTACTATTATTTTAGGGAATACATTGAAAATTATTTTTTGAATCTATTTATAAAGTTTCATTTGCTTTTTGGCACATACATAATTTTTCTTTTAATTATTTTTAAGTTATTAGACATGAAAAACTTCTAAGTATAAATAAATATAGTTTTTAAATAAATAAGTCTTATTAAATTTAATTAAAGAGTCAATAAAGATTTAGTTAAAATAGTTCTATAACTTTTTAAATATTTTCCATTTGAAAATTGAAGTTGTTAGCGGTTACTGTTATCGCCTCTCAAATTCGCGCTCCTTTAAAATTTATTTATCGATATTTAAAAACTAGTGGGCAGAAATATCGAGCATTTGGCAGCACTGTTTATAGAAATTGGCAGCATTCTTAAGCTCAAAGTGAAAACACAATTTTGCATTGTTCAGCACTACTTTTTCCAATTAAAACCAAACAAATCGCAAAATGTTGCAAATTCTGTAAACAATTGAAAAACTTACCGTTAATTTTAAATAAAAAGTGAATCTCTAATCCAATATGTTTCTACCGGAAACAGCTACATTTTGTATTACTCTTTTGGTTTACGGGGCCATTTTGTTACTCCTTATATACTATGTGAGTTTTGTTTACCATTCGTGGATATTGAAATCTAATAGGTATCAAAATCATTTAGGTTCTAACATTGGCGGATCTGGAGTGCGACTATTTGAATGCACAGGAGTGCTGCCGGCGGCTCAACTTTTGGGTGATTCCCAAGTTCGGCTCCCACGCCCTTCTCTGCATTTTGCTTCTCCTTGGTGGCCATTGGATAATGTTTCTGCTGAATCTACCCATGGTGATGTGGCTTTACTACGAACTCCATCGCCAGCGACGGGATAGCTTGGGAGTGTATGACCCGGTCGATATTCATAGCCGGGGACTACTCAGGGTGCACTTGAGGAACTGCATGATCTATCTGGGTTACTACTTTGTGATGTTCTTTGTGGGTTTGTACTGGTAAGTGGGTCATTGCTAACTGGACTACGTTTTCGTACTAAAATAATATTATTCCTACAGTTTAATTTCATCGTTAATCAAGGGAGACCCCATCAAGCGATACGAGGACGACGAGATAGTCACAGATTTCTGAAGTTTATCTAAATAAGCAGGCACTCTTAATGGGCTTCCAGCTTAGTTTCCTTCTCGAATACTTTTATACCTTTGCAAGGTATTAAAATTTAGGAAAACAATTTAAAAATCACGCAAAAAATAAGTCGAACGAAGTCGGTTGAATGCCGCTGGAATAGATAAAGGCCCTAGTTTCCCTATTTTTACAAAAGACTGGAGCATTACCATGTGTTCAATTTATTGACTTTCCCAGTACCAACCTAGTCGCACTACATCTTCATTTTATTTATTTCATTCCTAGTAATATAAGCGTATTCGAATACAAATCACAAAATACATAAAATATACACAATACCGTTCAATTGGATGGCAAATCTTTGTTATTGAAGGAAGTCGACTACCTCCTCAAGCTCTCGCTGACGGGCTTGCTTTTGCGCCCACCTGGCCTCTGCCGTTTTGACGCTGACCACCCAGCGATCGTGGGCTAGCTTAATGCCACATACTCCACTATCTGCGGCCGTGCTTGATGATGCTGCTCCTGCTTGGGGTTTTCCCATGTAGGTCTGAGCATCGGACCGGGGATGCCGACGCTGGGCAGGGCACAGCTTGCCACCCTTGGGAAACGGCGGTTCAGCTAGGTACTTTTTAAGACAGCCTTGGTGGAACAAATGGCCACAGTAGACACGTTCTATGTAAAAGTCTGAGTTCTCATCCTGTTCCAAATCCTCTGGATACTCTGGCAGCACAGTGCCGTTACAAATGGGACAGCATTCGGCATGGAAATCACGGGTAGCCTCAAGACAAAATTTGAGTGATCGGTGAAGGCTCCTTACAGGCCGGAAATTGGCCAGCGCCTCCTTGCTCATTCGAATGGGGGGCTCCACGCACTGGCGGGCAATCTCTCGGGACTGGCCATTCAGGTAGCGCACAAGTACTGCTGGGAGGTTGGAGTCCTGGCTGCGAAGATCCACACTCTGCATTGGGTAGCTGTCGGGCACTACAGCCGTGACTTTGTATGAGTAGCGTCCTCCTTTGGCCACCAGTTCCACGCTGCGATTCCTTTGCTTCAGTTTCAATAGGCTCTCCACTGACCCAGGGGTCTTAATGTCCGTTCTGAGCTGCTTGATCTCATCCAGGCACACACAGAGTGGGTTATCCGACAAATACTGCTGAGCAAATGAAAGGACCAGCAGTGCCTGTGGCTTGCCTAGGAAATCCCGAGCATAGTCGTCGATTAGACGGGTCAGTTCCGTCAGTAGCATGTCCGAATACACTCGACTCTTCAGCTCCACCAAGATTTGTGTGTTATGTGGATAGTTTTCCGGGAATCGCAAGCACACCGTCATCGAGCGATTGGGCCTCTCCGGATAAATGTCCACCCGGATCAGAGAGTTTGAGCAGATGATGATCTTGGTGTGCGGCACCTGCTTTTCGCATTTGGCCCGAACATCTGTAACTTCCTGATCGATGAAGCCCATTTTAGGTGTCGTTTTGAGTTTTCCAATCAGACTGTTTTTGAACAGCTGAACGAGGCTGAGTTGTTATTGTCGCTCAGTGTTATAAAGGGTTGCACCAAAAGGTGCAAAATGTAACGGGAGCTTTCCCAGATAGTCACCTTGCCATTTTTAAAATTTTCGCAAAAATTGTATGTAAGTTTTTACAGATATGGTGATGGATTTCATATAAGACAATAAATTATTTCGTAAAGTAAAACATTTTAATTGCACAGAAAATGTACAAAGAATTTGGAAAATTTCTTAAAACTAGAAACCGTTACAAATATTTTGGTAGAGAAAAACTTGAGATCTAAAAACTTTCCCGAATTTGTATTAAGCTTATTGTTACCGATATAGAGCTTCTTCAGATAGGATTTTTTTGTTTAAAAAACAACTTCTAAATGTTTTAAATTTACTTTAAAAATTTTAGGAAAAGAAAAAGAGAAAACTAATTTTTTTGTTTCTGATCCACCCTAATGGTGACTCGCGTACGTTTTCTAACACTACCCAGCTGACGCAAAGGCCCAGCCACGTTGTGAAAAAGCCGACTGAGGGCGAATACGAAATTAATACGAGTTAAATAGCTAAACAAACAGGCTAAGATGGTATTGGATCTGGATCTATTCCGTAGCGATAAGGGCGGCAACCCGGACGCCATTAGGGAGAACCAGAAGAAGCGTTTCAAGGACCTGGCGCTGGTGGAGACGGTAATCTCCAAAGACACCGAGTGGCGTCAGTGCCGTCACCGTGCCGACAACCTGAACAAGGTGAAGAATGTCTGCAGCAAGGTGATCGGGGAGAAGATGAAGAAGAAGGAGCCTGTCGGGCCGATGAGCGAGGAGGTGCCACAAGCCGTAGCCGACAATCTGGCTGATATCACTGCCGAGACGCTGCAGCCATTGACGGTGAGCCAGATCAAGCAGGTGCGCATTCTGCTGGACAATGCCATGACTGAGAACCAAAAGTCCCTGGAGTTGGCGGAACAAACCCGAAACACGGCGCTCCGGGAGGTGGGAAATCATCTGCACGAATCGGTGCCGGTGTCCAACGACGAGGACGAGAATCGCGTGGAGCGTACCTTCGGAGACTGCGAGAAACGCGGAAAGTACTCGCATGTGGATCTTATTGTTATGATCGATGGCATGAACGCGGAGAAAGGAGCCGTTGTCTCTGGTGGTCGTGGTTACTTCCTTACCGGAGCCGCCGTCTTCCTGGAACAGGCTCTTATCCAGCACGCTCTGCAGCTGTTGTACACTAAAGACTACACTCCTCTGTACACGCCCTTCTTCATGCGCAAGGAGGTGATGCAGGAAGTGGCCCAGCTATCGCAGTTCGATGAGGAGCTCTACAAGGTGGTTGGCAAGGGCAGCGAGAAGGCAGAGGAGGTTGGCATCGACGAGAAGTACCTGATTGCTACCTCAGAGCAGCCCATTGCCGCATATCACCGGGACGAGTGGCTTCCAGAGGCCTCGCTGCCAATCAAGTATGCCGGACTCTCAACTTGCTTCCGCCAGGAAGTCGGCTCCCATGGCAGGGACACACGCGGCATCTTCCGCGTGCACCAGTTCGAGAAGGTGGAACAGTTCGTGCTAACCTCGCCCCACGACAACAAGTCTTGGGAGATGATGGACGAGATGATCGGCAACGCCGAACAGTTCTGCCAGTCGCTGGGCATTCCATACCGCGTGGTTAACATCGTGTCTGGTGCCCTCAATCATGCCGCCTCCAAGAAACTGGATCTGGAGGCTTGGTTCGGCGGCAGTGGCGCTTACAGAGAGTTGGTTTCCTGCTCCAATTGTCTGGACTACCAGGCACGCCGCTTGCTGGTGCGCTATGGCCAGACCAAGAAGATGAATGCCGCCGTAGACTATGTCCATATGCTGAACGCCACAATGTGCGCCGCCACACGTGTTATCTGCGCCATCCTGGAAACGCATCAGACGGAGACTGGCATCAAGGTGCCAGAGCCTCTGAAGAAGTACATGCCGGCCAAGTTCCAGGACGAGATTCCTTTTGTGAAGCCTGCTCCCATTGATCTGGAGCTGGCCGCTGCCGAGAAACAAAAGGGCAAGAAGGAAAAGAGTAAGAAGGATCCTGCCGCCGCTTAGGACTACTCAACTATTATCCGGAAAATACTGCTAAACTAAGCTTGCAAAGTCCTCAAAATTTTTGTTACTTATCGACTTAACTAATATTTATGGCATTTATGTACACTTTATGAAGATTAAAATGGAACAAGCTGAGCTTCGAACGCAATTGTGGTTTAATAATTAATTTTGATTTTAAAATTAGCTGGTAAATTAATTAATTTAATTGTTATTTTTATGTAAATATGCTGACACCCAGGGGTGGGTTTCCCCGGCCGGCAGCTGTCAGGTTGTCAGGGTAATCCTTCAGTTTGTTTATAAAAGTTTCACAAATCAGTAAAAATATCTGTCGAATTTCTGAAAAAAATCTTGCATTTAAAAGAAATATCTTAAAAGAATATAATGTCTCTTTGCAAACGTCGTGAAAAGCCCAACAAGGATACCCGCTGGGACCGCATCCGCAAACGGTACTTTCAGGCCAACACTACAGGCCTGAAATCAGATGCAGTGCGTCGGTTCATAGAAGTGGATTATGTGGGCAAGCAGCAGCAACGCCAGCTGATAGAGGGAGATGATCCCAAGCAATTGAATCCCAGTGTTATCATGGACATGCGCCATAAGATGGTAGGGAGATGGCTACTTCTTTGTTATTATACCCTTGCAGAGGGTATTATAATTTTGTCCAAAAGTGTGCAACGCAGTGAAGGAGACATCTCCGACCCTATAAAGTATATATATTCTTGATCAGGATCACCTCCTGAGTTGATATGAGCATGTCCGTCTGTCCGTCCGTCTGTCTGTTTCTACGCGAACTAGTCTCTCAGTTTTAAAGCTATCGTCTTGAAACTTTGCACACACCCTTCTTTCCTTTGCACGCAGTATATAAGTCGGAACGGCCGGGATCGGCCGACTATATCCTATAGCTGCCATATAACTGATTGATCGGAAATGGTATAACTTTGGTGTTTTTAGAGTTAGAGACTTCAAATTTGACATGAGAGCTATTTTTGGCAACAAATGCCAAATTTCATAAGGATCGGCCGACTATATCTTATAGCTGCCATATAACTGAACGATCGGAAATGACCCAACTTTCGTGTTTTTGAAGATAGAAAGCTGGAACTTGGTACAGATTATATTTTTGGTCAGTTAATCCGACTTACCAAATTTTATAACGACCGGCTTATCTTATAGCTGCCATATAATTGAACGATCGGAAATGGTTTTTGGTAGAAATACCAACTCTGGTATTTTGGAAATATAAATTTGGGATTTTTTTTAGATTCTATATAATAATAACTTGAGTTATATTATCATATTCTCATAAGGATCGGCCAACTATATACGATGTTTGCGATATATATCCGGTTTTACCTGAAAGGGTATATCAACTTCGGCTCCGCCCGAAGTTAGCTTTCCTTTCTTGTTTTTTATTAAAATATTTTTTAGTTCAAGAAGATTCCGCATAAGCTTCCGTTGGCCACCATAGCCCATGGCAACACCTTGGAAGCCACCAAGGCTCACAACCGTGAGGTGGAGCAGCGCTTCGTTGACCACCAGCTGGATAAGTTCCGCCAGCAGTTGGCTAGGCAGTTCCAGCGCAGCAAGTCCCACCGAGTTCCTCCCTCGAAACCGGACTTCAAGCTGAACCACAAGCCTCTGGTAGAGAGCCTTACCCAGGCGGTGCATCATATTGACAACTTCTACAGTACTCCTGTCGAGGCTCTGAGTCAAATGGCTCAGATGTGCTCCGAAACGAAGAAAGCGGCCACCAAAACCCTGATCCAGGAGCTTAGGGCTGAGCCCGAAGCGGAAAAAGAGGCCGACATGGACCGGGAATGGGTGGAGAATGAAGCGGAGGTCTCGGAACTACCAGAATTTCGAAATGAGAATGTCATCTCCTTCGATGCTCTGGAATATCGGAAGTTCGCCAAGCAGGTCCAGGCAGATGAGAGCAAAGCAAAGCTACTGCGTTGTCGCACTCCCAGTCCCCTCACCTCGACGGAGGAGTTCTTCAAGCCCATGCGGGCAGCAGCCGAGCGGCAAATGCTTCACGTCCGTACCATTCGACACGAAGAGGAATTGCAGGAAGAGGGCAAGCAGGAGCCGGAGGAGATGAAGCCCCCCTCACTGCAGAGGGAGTCTTCGAGTTGTTCTGATACCAGTGATGGGATAGATTCAGTAATCTCCGACTTGGCCGAGGAAGCCCTCTACGAACTCCAAATGGAGGCAGCTGAGGAGCAAAAAGAGCAGTTGGATAAGGACCTGCCCATTCCCCCAAAGCATGTCCAGTTCCAGCTACCCCAAAAGAAGACTCCCACGCCGAGCACTCATCCCATTGAGGAGTCGGAACCAGAACCGGAGCCCGAGACTCAAGCCCTTCTCATCCGACGCATTGAACTACCCAAGGTGGTGGTGAAGCCCAAGGTTGCCGAGCTTCCCGAGCTGTCCAGCGACAGTGAGGATGAGTCTGATGTCCAACCCAGCCACGAAAAGCAGAAGATTATCGACCAGCTCTTCCAGGCCAGGGCCAACACTGAATTGGTTCTCATGCGTAAATATTTCCTAAAGTGGATACATTTCATCACCCTGGAGAAGATTGAGCGGGAGCAGGGACAGACTGCGCATGCGAAGGATAATCGGGTGCAGAAGATCAACGCGTTCTTGGACAAGGTGCGGCAGGAGAAGAAACGTCAACGGACGTCCCAGCCCGCGGACGCGGCTAATGAAAAAAGCAAGATCACCCAAAAGTCTCTCGAGCAGCGCGAAGAGACCGTGAAATTGGAAAAACAGTTCAAGAACAAGTATATCCTTAAATATTAAAAAAGGATTGTAACCTTATAGACACTTTTTTATCCCACAGACTAAAAGTACAGCAGGATATCATAGATCTGCAACGCATGAAGCTGGAGCGCCAGGAGCGGCTAATAATGCAGCTAAAATTGAGTAAGTTGAGCGACGAAGCCAAGGAGGCGCGCGAGGACCTCAAGCAGGAGCTGAAGACTGTCATCCGCTGCGGCGATCCTAAGGCTAAGGCCAAGGCAAGGTGTCTGCAGCTGATTGGCAATCTTCGCGATGCCGAGGACGAGGAGATGGCCCGGCTACAGGGCAAGGCTTTGCTTCAGCCTCGCTTTTTGCAGCACATGCAGGAACGGGCCATGGAAAGGAGCGTGCGTCACGAACAGGCTCGCCAGCGGCGGGCCCAAGCAGAGGCCGAAAGGGAGGCCGCCAAGATGGCCCTGGAAGAGGCTAAGGTAGGTTTAGTTGTGTATCAGGAACAAGTTTTCAAACCGAAGCTTTTCCCATTTAGCGCCAGGAAGACGAAGAAGCCAAACGTCTGAGGATTGAAGTGCTGAAGGAAAAACGCCGTCAGGAGAAGATGGCCAAAGTTCTAAAGGAGCGAGAACGCCAAAGGTTCATTGAGAACCAAAGAAAGGCTGTGGAGTTCAGCCGCCGCCTGCTACTGCGGCGAGTTGGAATGGAGGCCTTCAAAAGACTGCTTCAGCGTAAACGTGAAAACTTGGTCAAGAGTGAAGAGTTCCGGCGCAGGATGTACAAACAGAACTCCTTCCAGTCGTGGCGCAACTACACGGCCTACAAGCAGCGCGAGAAGATGCTGAAAGCAGAACGATGCTGGCATACAATCCTCAAGAGACGCGCCCTGGTAGCCTGGATCCTGTATGTGCAGAATGAGCGGAGCAAGATGCAGGTGGCCATCGATTGGCATGCGCTGCATTGCATGGAGTTCTGGTTCGGTCGCTGGCTGAAATACACAACCCATTGTAGGATGATCGAGGACACCAAGACCCGCCAGGCCATCTCGCATCATGAATGGTGGGTGATCTATAACGAAAATATAAATCATATTAATTTCTATTCGGAATATCCTATCAGGCATTTAAAATGGAAGGTCTTGGACTGCTGGCGGCGCCTGCCTCAGATTCTCAAAATAGAAAAGGAGACCGAGGAGCGACGCCAGCGATGGCGCATGAAGATCTGGGAACTGCTACCCGACTATAAGCCGCGCGAGGACAGCCTTTGGTAGTTGGATATTCGTTTCATTCAAGTTGGTTTCCTATTTTTATTTATTTTGAATAAATTTAATTGCATTTATGACTTTGTAAGCGCTACGACTAAAAATGACTACCAATATTAGGTTTGAGAGCGTTAAATACTATAGTTTTTGGGCGAAAAGCTGGTTTATACTTTGTAGTTATGTTTGTGAGTGCCAGCGTTCACTTAAGGATGGACCGCCAATTGTTCCAGATGCGGTTGCGTCCGGCGGCGTTGGAGGCCCGTTTGTATTCGTGTAAAGTAGACCCAGTCCACCGCAAATATCCCTGGCGGATCAAAACAAACGCAATGTAAACCGAAATAAGCAGCGCATAACAGGCCACTACGAAGGTTATGCCAAGCCTGTTGAGAAGCACGTGTAAACTAAGAGGTCATCGTCACCACAACTGGAAAAACTTACTCAAAACTTTCGAAAACTTCGCTGCAGTCGTCCGGGAGGAGGATAGGGTATCCCAACGGACGCACAACCATAAACGGGTGACAGATTGCAGTGAGTGTCAAGTTGGCACCAAGCAGCAAAGCGATCTCGGCCAGAGCCAGTCCCACTATATACCACACATAGTTGCGTTCTCCTATGCAACAGTTGAGCCAGTAACTGTGGTGATCCCTTCTCTTGACACAGGTGCCACAGACGCCGCAGTGATAGGCCTTTCGAGGAGTCACCTTTCGGCAGGTTTCACAGATGTTCGGTTGCCCGTGCATCAGGCCCGCTCGTTCAGTGCTGTCCAAGTCCACAATCTCATCCTCCTCCATGGTCAAAACACTCTCCATCTGGAGTGTGGTTTGGGCCTCGGCCTGCTCCTCGCCACTGGATGCTTCTGCGATGCCGGGCAGCTCATCTTTAGGCGTGGTTCCATACTGAGCTGAAACCAGGTTAAGAGCTGACAATTTCTTGGCGGAAAACAAGCAGTAAATGGATGCGCAGGAGAAGAATATTAGGGCATAGTTCTCCTCCGGTGCCAACTCAAGCAGAGGCACCTGAAACTCAAATATTATGATCATGTAGACTACGGAGAAGACCATCCAACTGAGAAAGAAGTTTGTCTTCGTAGCGGTTCGCTTCGCCACCTGCACGCCCCACATGGTGAAGCCTACCAGTGTCAGCATCAGGATCACGGCAGTCTTGGAATTAAGAGTGGCCAGGCCCAGCATAAGGGGCACAACAAACGCCGGAGCCACAGCCGCCGGCGAGATCCGTTTGGCACCGCCCCGCCACGGCAGGCGCAATCGATCTTGAAAAGCAATCAACATGCCGTCTATATTTCTTCGGTCGATGGGTCGACAAGTGACCAATCTGTGGAAATAGTTTAGCAAGTATATGGAAACGTCTTTATTGTTTTCCGACCTTGTGCACACCAAGTCAAAGTCCCGACAATCACAGCAACATCCTAGCAAGTGTGAGCGCCGTGCTCCTCTGTCAGAGATGTACTCGCAGCAGCAAAGGGTCCCAGTTCTGAATAGTTTTCAAAAATATATTTGTTACTAAAATCTCGCATTACTTTACCTATCTTACCTGACTTCTTCGTGATCTTTTAGTCTGGCTTCTGCACCATTAATTCCGGAGCCGGCAGACATCGATTTGCCGAAAAGAACAGGTGCCAGAAATTTAAGGTCGGGTCCGAGCAGCGTGTACAGAAACAGTTTAGATTAGATTAGTGCACGCCTAATTATCACACCTTTGATGGTTCGCAGAGTACTTAAGAGCACTGGGTGAATTATTTCAATATTTTTATCTACAAGGGGAACTACTCACACAATTCGCTTGAAAAACAAAACTCAGCTGGCGGTAGAGTTGTCAAATAATGCAAGTTTTAGTTCAGTTCTATTGGGAGAGCATAACATTACTGAGAAGAATTATTAGGGGTTTTAAGTTCTGATATAAAAATTTTAACAAATAATCAGAACAGGGCTTATACCAATTTTGTATTATTATATTTTACTAAATTAACAATAAAACTGGTATCTTACTAATTTGAAAATATCGATTGGAATAGTGCCATCTCTATCATATCAAAATTGGTCCGGCAACACCACACACAGGTGATTGCATTTGTTTTTTTTTATCGCGTGTGTAATATATAGATTTTGGCCAGTAATTAGAGCTCAAGTCATGTCTCGGTTAGCATTATTGCGCAATTTTGTCCACCACAGACACAAGTTGCTACCCAGCAACTTAGATCGCTTAAAATGTGCGGCAGCATTGCACTGGAGTCCACTTTTACGGCAGGAAGCATCCCGCGGTTTGTATTGACTTGGTTTCTATATTTACTTAACTAATAAACGTTTTTTAGAAGGGTCCCGTGGCGGAGCATTGCAGCAATCACAGGGCCCAAGCCAGGTTTCCACGGATGTACGTCCCATTGGCGAGAAAATTAAGGAGAACACAAAAACAGCCAGCTACACGGCCATAATAGTAGCCGGCTTGGGGGTCACCTGTGTTATGTTCTTTGCCATTTTCAGGGAGCTATTCTCTTGCGAGAGCCCTAATAACATTTATGCAGAAGCTCTTAACCGCGTCATTGAGGATCCCCGAGTCCAAGATGCGATTGGAGCTCCTATTAAGGGATTTGGTGAAACCTCCCGGCGTGGACGCAGACAGCATGTGGCTCACTCCAGTTACGAACGGAATGGAAAGCCCCACATGCGAATGCAGTTTTATGTGCAGGGTTTGAGAAACAAGGCTACTGTTCAACTGGAGTCTCGAAAGGTGGGTATCCCGTTTGCATCACAATTACCCATCCTAATATTTATTTTCGTATTTTTAGTCGGCCTCTGGTAAACGCGAGTACCGGTATCTGTTTGTGCAATTGAATCATTATCCCCACACTACCATTGTCTTGGAAGACAACCGAGCCTTTGACCCCGCCCCAGAACCAACGTCTTCCGTTTCCGGCACGTCATCATTTGGGAACCTTGCGCTGATGTCCAATAGTCGAGACAAATAAGAGGCTCGCTTCGAGCCCCCGTAGTGCACTTAAATTTTCTGTACATTTGTTATATTTATTATTTGACTGACAATGAATTTGCATTGGAATTTGATCAACCGCCTCTGTCTCTCGAATCATTCGCCAATGGAAAAGTTGTCCATTTCCAGGATGGCACCCGATTGGTGTCAGTAGAGCTTCTTCCAGGGAATAATCTCCCAGGAGCGGACTATGTGGCGTCCGAACAGAAAGTCCTTTAGCTTGTTCATGATGTAGAACGAGATTCCGAAGAAGGATGCAAAGTAGAGCCAGAATTGTCCCAGTCTTTCCCAAATGCTCAAGTGGTAACGAGCGGGAACTTGCAGGACATCTAGTTCCAGTTCGATGACGAGGCCGCGCTCGAAATGAGGTGAAGTGGGTTTGTAGTAGGTCTCCTGCACAGCTAACTGGAAATAGGCCGGATTGGCTTTCACCTGACCCAGCAATGACTCCAACTTGTACTGGTTTATATCCGCCGTGGAGGAATTGTTGTCCAGTTGTACCTTGCGGAACTGTGTCTTGATATTGCGTCCTGGAAACGGACATGTCAGCTCTACATACTGCTTTAGCTGCAGTTCTCCCTTCATCATAATGCGGCCATTGGTGAGACGAGCCGCCACTGGAATCTGGAGTTGATGGGCCAGCACAGATGGAGGTGATAGATCGCACTTGTGTTGCAGCTGGGCATCGAAAAAAACAATCAGGTCAAAGTTCAACAGACGGGCGGGGACATCCTGCAGCTCCAGATGAAAGTGTACGCGATCCGGTACCGTGTCATGGTCAAAGTCTTCCGTCCAATACTTAGAGGCACTACAACTGTTCGTGAAATCACCCATTTTGGAATTAAAGTATCTGAAAGTGCTGCAGGCCACCATGGATTCGGGTTCTCCTTCTTCCGTTGGCTCTGTGGTGGCCACGAATAAGTACTTGTAGTCGAACTCTATAATGGGCTGTTCATAAAGCACCCTTGATTCCGAAATGCCAGAGTAAGGGCTCAGCAGGGACACTAGCAGTACCGGAATCATCACGGAAAGGGCTATAAAGGCCAGGACCAAAAGCGAGGCAAAGGAGCATAGCGAGTTCTTGTACACGATTGCCGTATTTGTCGTATGGAGCGGGATAAACTTCATAGCGATATAATTAGGTAACTTATCCGGTCGTAACTGAGCACCTGTCCTTTTAAATCTGTCAACTGAATGAGGTGGAAATTAGTTTCGATGGTGACGGTTCCCCTGGCAACCCAAAAACCTACATATGTCAACATAGCTAATTGTCAAATTTTTGGAAAAAGATTTATTAGTTAAAAAGAATTAATAAATTATTAATTCGTTTTAGAATTATTGGTTTAGTTTCTTGTGTTAGTTTCTTTAATTATTCCTCAATTTTGAAATAAAATTCAAATCTTACATACAGTTTTAGGTTTGAGTCTTTGCTATCTAAGTGCTACATGTATATGTAGAAATAAAGGATGTATGTAGATTATATTCTAGGCGTCTTAGAATATCCTTATATCCAATATTAATGATTTTTATAAACAAAAATTCATTTAAAAAAAAATTATTCAAGCATATTTATATTCTTATGAACAGTCTTTGTATTTCGCAATTAACATTTTTTTAATGTTTAAGGATTTAAAAAAATTATTAATTTATTAGGCTTTATAAAAAAAAAGTTTAAAAATAAGTTATTAAATATTAGGTATATTTAAAAAATGTTTTCGCTTTAAGGGATCTCCCTTTTTTACCATTCATTTGAAGACGCTCCAATCGCTTTATTATTCCCTGCAATTCTGGTCGATACGCATCCGTTCCGGCTTAAAGCCGATACTGAAAAAGTATTGATTGCACATAATTATAGGATTTCGATACAGGCCCTCTGGAAGCTCGCTCAGCCCACAAACTAAAGTGAAAAGTGAGCCAGCCATGGGGGAAGTACGGGGACGGACGCTGAAAAAGAACGGTCGCATAACTTGACCAACATTTGCTCATAATTAAGACCGCCAACTGGTTTCGGTTTCGGGTTCAAAATGATTTCGTGTGCAACGCGTTAAAATCGGAAGTTGCAGCTTTGCATTTAAGGCGCTTATTTTAAAAAGTGTTGAAAGCGGACCACTCAAGAAACTTTATACAGTAATTGGCCAAACCGAAAGATATAAGTACAACAGATGCACAGAAAATGATGAAAAATAATAAAACTTTATTAAAACTTTATCAAAAAAAATTAGTGCAAACTTACAAGTTATTTTAAAAATTTATGTTCCATCGAAACTTTTCCTTTTCCAGTTAATAATAAACTGTAATAAAGACAGTCATTCTTTATTGTCATTTACCTGTCACTTGAAAAAGTTTTCTAGTTTGCTTGTTTTTCAAAACAAAACTAGAATATTTGATTGGTATGCATTTTTTTCATTTTCGTCGAGGCCGCATGACATGTCATGTTGGGTAACAAAGTTTTTCTGATTCGTCTCTTGACTTTGTCTGACATGTGTTTTGTGAATATTAAAAATTTGTGGTAAAAATGATGGCTTGGCATGCGGTGTCACAACTATACTGCGAATGATGAATAAATAAAAGTGAATCGCGCTTTGACAGCGACATACTCAGTCAGTCACCTGTATTGCGCTGATCTTTGACATTTAAGCAAGTTTCTGGACAGAGCATCCTGTCTTTAAGTTTAAGAATGAAATTCTTCTAAAGCCCTTCCAAAAAAAATCAATAATTTTTCTGCATTTTCTCTTCCACATTGCCACGCCATTTTACACAAAAAAAAATGGAAAAAGGAAAAAGAAACCGGAAAAGTTTGTATGTAAAAGCCAAGATGGCAGACAAGCAGACAGATAGGGCGGAAGATACACACTCAACCGTAGTTGGAATTCAGCTCACGGCCCCAGGACAATGCCAGCTCTGCGCCCATATATCCTTTTTCAACGAAATTTCAGCTTTCACTCGTTTCGCGTACGTGACCGTGTTGCCACCAAGGAGCTGTTGAAGTGGCAAATTCGCACAGCGCCACCAACCTTTAACTGGAATGGGAAGTGGTTGTTGGGTGGCTGGTGGGTGGCGGAGGTCAGAGTAATGGCTGTTGTAGTTGTAACGGTAGCTGCTCCAAAAGGTGGTAGGCAGGCGGTAATGCTGTGTGCGCCAGGCTGGGCTCTGGCAAAAAGTAGCAGTTTATTAGGCGCACCAAATTAACATAGAACTACTAATGACTTCCAAGGCAAACTAACTAAAAGGACGAGTGAAAGGCACTAAGAGAGGGAAAGGAGGGTAAAAGGTAGGGAAGCTGTAATTTGGGTGCAGGAAAATAATGCTTCCTCAGAGTCAAGAAAGGGGGTTTGTGGAATATTTAACAAAAAAATATAATAGAGTCATTTCAACACAAGACTTTCTTTATTTTAAGTAAGCTATAAAATTAATCTACTTTTGTTTCTAAGTATTGTATCCAAACATTTATAATACATTTTATACTAATCGAATAAAAATAATATATTTGAAATATAAATAAAATGGAACTTAAAGATTCCCTTCTTTTTACCAAGAACCAAAAAGTGAACTTTTACCCCAAAAACTATGCTATAAAAACTGAAATCTGTTAATAGGACTATTAAATAGCCAATAATTGTATTAACTTTATGTTTTGTTTACAAATCAACAATAGTTATGATTCAAATATTCCGAAAATAAAATCCAAATGAACTCACTCACTCAAGGGTGTTCAACATGCAATGGCATTTGAAAAACATACAACGCCTGCGCGGATTTTTATTCTTTTCCGCTCAACCCCAGATACGAGTCCTGCCACCCCTTCTACTGGATGCTGGAATAAAAAGGGGAAATGCGATGGCTCTCCCCGAAGCTTTCTTTTTGCTCCGGTTTAGTTCCCCAAGGAAATCAAAGGGAAACAACGTATGGAGTCCGTTGAAGTTGTTTTAATATTTATATAGAGTTCATGTCTCTATCTGTGGCGAATTCCCCTTACAACACTCAAGTGGAAAAGTGTTACACACTCGTGCATACATACCCGCATATGTTTGGGACTGGCTTACTCAAGAAGGCCAAAAGGACTTGTCGTGGAAGGGAGATGCCGAGTTCCTTTGGTGAACTATATTTGACAATCAAGCCGCAAGCATATGTTACCCGATAATTTGCCGAAAGTTTTAATGAAAGGCATGGGACTCATTTTTCCTGGCACACTCGTTCTTCTCTTTTCCCCCAACTGCGCACTGTCCCTTTCCCGAAAAGCATGTGAATGAGTTAATGTCCTTTTTGTGCGAGTACGTTTTCCCTTAGCTTTGTCGCCATTTTGTCAGGGTCTGTGTCTCAGTCGCAGCATATTTTGATGAGCTTGACAAAAGTTACTGTCCCTTTCAGAGTTTCTGTTTTTCTGTGGGTGCTTCTTCAGTTCTCCAGTTTATAAATGACTCCTTCCCATTCTAGCCAGCAGAGAGTTTCCCAAGTAGCTGGCGGCAACTGTAATCACGCCATATCTGTTGAAAATTTCCAACTTTTTGTCATCGTTTTTCGAATACAAATTATGAAGCAATTTTTTCTTATTAGTTTCTTTAACTCTAAGAAAAGTATCTGGGATTAAATTGTATAAATTTATAAGTATATTTGTGGTATTTTAATCTTTTTTATTTCTTTTCTGCCCATATATTTTTTATTACAAATTGGTGTAATTTTTAAAAGTTTTTCAAACATGTATTTTAAAATCTTAAAGTTAATTAAGATAAATCCAAAATACGTACGTATACAAGTACATACATATATAAACTTAATAGTAAATACATTTTGTTTATTTGTAAATATTAAAAAGCATATTCTGATATTATCTGATATTATTCAATAAGAGAAAAATATAAAAATTTAATGTAAATATTATAAAAATGCGACCTAATTTTTATAAAAGGGCATAGAAACCATCTCCTTATAAAAAAAATATTTGGATACACCCACGAAAAAAAGCCACCATATCCCGCTGGGCAGTGGAGCAGACCACTAAAAACTGGACAGGTTCGTGGTCCCTGAAACCTGCCAGCAGGAGGGGAAGTAGACTGAGATGGCGGCAACACAATGTCATACAAATTTGAACAAGCGCTGGTTCAGCTTCAGTTGTTACTTCCTTCGCCGCTGTTGTTTTATTTTTTCGCCATGTTGCTGGTAATAAGCGTAAAACTTTGACAGTTTGTTATCCGCATTTGTTTGGTGGCTTGCAGTTTTCATTTGCCAGTTGCCAGTGCCAGTTTTTTGCTGTATTCTGTATTTTTTGTCTGTGGCTGGGGCTCACTGCTGCCATTTTTTGTCCCCTAGCGAGCACCTGTTAAAATTGCTGCCAGAGTGACAGGAGCGGCACTTTCTAAACGGCTCGCCCGGGAACTGCCGCATGATAAGCGTTGTCCACGAATGATCTGCCAGTTCCCGAACCCCGCCCTCTTCCTTTGGGGCAAGAGGGGTGTAGCCAACAATTAGAACAACATGAACCTTTTAAACAGATGCCTGTCATTTTGCGGTTTCCGTAAACCGAATTTTTCATTCATTTTCGGGAACATTGGTGTTTTTTCTCAATACTTTTCTCACCTTTTCTCTTCCAAAAATTATCCTTCTGTAACCACTTTTTTTAATATTTTGTGCGAAGCGTTTACAGAGTTTTCTGCCAAGGGTATTAATTTTATTGATGGTTAATTTATAAACGATGTGGAAAAGGAAACTTATATACATTTGCGGTTAGTTAGAGTCCAAAAAAGTAAATGAATGGGAGTGTCGACCGCAATTATGGATCGCTTATGTCAAAATGAGAAAATGATACTGGGTGCTCAGCGTTTTTTAGGTTTTTAAAGTCTAAAGAAACCAACTTTAATCGAAGTATACTTTTCAATTGGTTCTGCGGTGACAAAAAAGACAGAAACTATATCCTTTCGGGATTTCATACTACCTTTTTAATGGCCGAAAAGGTGCTTAGAACAGAAGATTCATCTGCGAAACGTGTTCCATCCTTTTAATCGCCTCGCCAACAACAATAACAGGACTAGTTACAGCAGTACCAACAGCAACAACGGCCACTATATCCTTATGCTAGTCCTGCGACATTCATAGTCTGACCAACGAACAGCAATTAAAACGGATTAAAAAGGCAGCAAACTGATTTATGGGCCAAGAAACTCAAATAACGACAATACGACCACTGAGCCCCAGAGCCACCACCACCACTATAACCA